TTTTTTTTTTTTTTTTTTTTTTGATCGGCAAAAATAAATTTATTTATTAATACGAACCATAAGGGTACTCTAATCCCGTTTCCAAGATAAAATTGTTAGCCCATACAAAAACTCATCTTAAGAACAACATTTTCCAACACAAATTATTATTAGTAGCATTTCCCAAATTCTAATTTTTGCCATAAAAAATGATAGGCTTAAAACCAAGATAGTGAAAGCTCAACTCATTAACTACATGACAGCTAATCTTAACCCCACACCATGAAAGATATTTCAAATGCAACATAGATTCAATTATATATGTTCTTGTTTAAATGGAGAAAACTTCAACTTTAACCCGCCTTTTTCTTTTTTTTTAAAAAAAAAATTATTCAATCAAATTAAAAATCAGAGTTATCTCTCCTCGCTTTATTTCCACAAACGAAAAAAGTTAAGTGAGAAATCTTCATTTCAGCAAATATCTGTATGGGGAGGCTCCGTGCTATCCACTCGGGGAAGACAGAGATAATAAAAGAAAAAAATGGAGAATTAATTACCTAGAGCAGGCGCGTGCAATGGATGCACAGGTATCAACCACCTCGGCGCACAGTAGCAGGTCCTGCCGGTTACCTGTAACCTCGTACGACCTCAAGCAGGCGATTGCAGTCCCCAGCAGACCCGTATAGGCAGTCGGGTCCACGCTGTTTCCCACCTCACCGCCACCACCGCCTCCGACGCTTTTCCACGTCGCCTCCACCACCTACAGAGTTTAAAAAAAAAAAAATCTGAGCCAACGCCGGCACAGTAAGGAACACTTCCGTCCTTACACACCCCCAAAAAAAAAAAAAAAACAGCGTACCTGTTCCTTAAGAGATACGGCTGCTCTGAGCAAAGTTTCATTCGCAACCGTAGGATCTACGTGAAGCATATCGAAGGCTTCGGTGTTTCCGTCTTCATGGTTCTCCCGAGAAGCGGATGCGGAAAATCTGAGCACCGACGACATCCACTCTGTTTCTGGTTCCTCTGGTTTTTTTTTGCTTTGGTTTGGCTTTGAGCAACGACACACAGCATCTGATACCGCTTAAAGAGAGGGAGAGAGAGAATATGAAAGCCAACCACAAAAAGAAAAGAAAGTGGTGTGAAAATGCGCGCGTTAGGCTGTTGATATTTATGGAGCTAGGGGCGGTGCAGCACAGACATGGGGTGACGTGGCGCGTTATAATGGATTCTAAAGGATTAAAAATTTACTACTACTGTCTACCGATTAAAATAAATTATTATCTATTTTTTATTAAAAGTAAGAATACGTGAGTTTGAATTGTATGACATGTTAATAGAATAGAATAAAGTAAAATAAAAAATATGAATAAAATAAAGTAAGAGATGAAAAATAATTATTTTTATTATGTAACTAATATTAAAAAAAATACTACTACTATTACTATCCACTGTATCATGTGTTTAAAAGGTTAAACTCTTATTTTGGTCCTTTAATTATTATACGGATCTTCGATTTAGTCCTTCAACTCAAAAATTTTTTGATTTGGTCCTTACTGTTTGCCATTTTGACCACAATTTGGTCCTTTCATTAAATTTTTGCTGAGGTGGCATGTTAACTAACGAGCAAGGGCACATCTTTTTAATATATAAAATATGTGGAATTTACATCGTGTCCAAATATATGACATGGCAAAAAAATTATCGAAATAATCTTTAACAATAATAAAATGACTATATTACCCTTATCTTCAACTTCTAAAATCTAAATCCTTATTTCTTTCTCCCTTCTCGAACTGGGTTCTCTTTCCTCTTCCTTTCCTTTTCCTTTTGCAAACCCTTATACTTTCCTCTTTAACCTCTACCATTGTTGGGTTCAAGAACCCAATAGATTCGCTAGGCTCGATCGACCCTAGCAAATTCGTTGGCTCGATCGAACCTAGCGCATTTGTTGGGTATCGAACCCAACAGATTCATTTGCTTGATTGAACCCAATAGATGCGCTGGGTTCAATCATCGAGGAGCTTTTTTTTCTTTTTTTGGTAATTTTGTTTGGTGGTGGTGATGATGATGATGATGATGATGATGAATTAATTGATCTTATTGAATTGAATGTTTGATTTAGAATGAATGAAGAAGATTTGAGAGGGAGGATGCTAAGGAAGAAGATGAGGACCAGCGCATCTGCTGGGTATTGAACCCAACGCAGTTGTTGGATATTGAACCCAACGGATTCACTTGGTTTGGGAACCCAGTAGCTTTTTTTTCTTTTTTTTTTTTCCTTTTTTTGGTAAGATTGAACCTAGCAAAGCTGTTGGGTTCAAACCCAGCAAGCCTTGGATGAGGCAATTTTGTTTGATGATGATGATGAATTTATTGGTCTCATTGAATTGAATGTTTGATTTAAAATGAATGGAGAAGATTTGAGTGGGAGTATGTTGAGGAAAAAGATGAGGACCAGCGCATCTGCTGGGTATCAAACCTAGCAGATTTGCTAGATTCAAGAACCCAATAGAATCGTTGGGTTGCTTCAAACCCATTAGGTTTTTTTTTTTTTTTTGGTAAGATCAAACCCAGTAAGCCTCTGAGGAGGCAATTTTGTTTGATGATGATAATGATGAATTAATTGATTTCGATGAATTAATTGATTTCATTGAATTAAATGTTTGATTTAGAGTGAATGAAGAAGATTTGAGAGGGAGGATGCTGAGGAAGAAGATGATGGCAAAATTATAAATTTGATAGATTGAATAATTATATTTGTTTGATTAGGTGGCCATATTTTTAGCCATGTCATTTATTTATCCTTTTGTCAATTTATGTATTAAATATTGGCAAAATACCCAAATCCACCCCCAAAGTATAGTAGCAGGGACGGATTCACCCTCGAACAAAAAATGGGGACAAATCCACCTACAAAGTTTTCGACTTGGACAAATCACCCCAAGTTTAACGTATGACGTCATTTGACATCAGCAATTCGTTAATTCGTTAACGAATTGCTGACGTCAGATGACATCAAATTAACAGATTACTGATGTCAAATGACGTCACACGTCAAATTTGGAGTGATTTGTCCAAATCGAAAACTTTGTAGGTGGATTTGTCCCCGTTTTTTGTTCGAGGGTGGATCCGTCCCTGCCACTATACTTTGGGGGTGGATTTGGGTATTCTGCCTTAAATATTTGGACATGTCATTTTCATTCCGTCAATTAATAGGCCACCTCAGCAAAAATTTAACGGAATGACTAAATCATGGTCAAAATGGTAAACAATAGAGATCAAATCAAGAATTTTTTTTAGTTGAAGGACTAAATCGAAAGTCTATATAATAGTTGAGGGATCAAAATGAGAGTTTAACCTGTTTAAAATTATTGTGCTCCAAACTCGTTAGAATAAAAAAAAAAAAAAATCCTTCAGTTGCAAATAGAAAAAAGAAAGAAAAACAGAACTGTTTTTCAGGTGCACTTTACTAGGCTTGATTTAGGTGTGTTGAGTTCTAATTGTAGTCATAAATATTTTTAGTTTGTTAATATAAAAACGTATAAAATATATTTAATA